TGCTTGGGGTTGCAGACCACAAAGCTGCACAGGCTACGTGCTAGCCTGCCAGGGACCTCCTACATAAGGCACGCGTCTCATTCTGTTTCAAGAAACAGCTATTCTTTGTTGAGCTAGAACAAAGGTATATTTAATGCTTTTTTTTTTTTCTTACCTAGATCAGGCAGTGGGTGCTGCAAGTTTGGATGCAAAGAGGAAATGGGAGAAGGAGCAAGGGTGGTGTGGAGGGATTTGGTGAAGCTTCTTGCAAGCAAAGGAATGGTTATTAGGGAAAGAAATACACTGAATTTTTGAATGTCACTCTTAATTAATAGTTCAAAACCTCTAGGGAAATAAAACATTTTAAAATATTGAGTGTTTCATGAAGATGTTATATATGCCATTTTTTCCAAACAGTCCCTAGTGTTTAATAGATTGTATTTATTTCTCCTTTAATCTGCCTTTTTTTATTCATGAACTAGCTAAGTGAGGTCAGAGAAAAAGAGTGAAAGAGCATTTTTGGCAAAGGGAAGCTTTCAATATGTCACATTTAATAGAAGTAATAAGCCCACAGAATCCCAGGATCTAAAAAGGGCTTTATACAGGGAGATTAATTTGCATTTCTACTGGATATCTTTCCCTCATTATCTTTTTGTTGTTGTTCTTACTTTGTTTGCTGTGTGGATGAGTATCAAGGCATTTCCTCTGACAAGTGGAGGGTGGTTGACACAGTTCACTGCAGAGTTGCGATCCTTGAGTGCAGATGAGTCACTGAGTGTGATGCAAGCTCCATGTCATGCAAGAAGTGAATTGTCAGGGAAAGACACCCACAGGGACTTCAACTTCGTTTTCCCTCTCTTTACACTCACAACACTTTATAGCCTGCAAGATCACCTGTGCAGAGGTGTGCCAGATGTTACTTCTGAATCCATGGCTGGAGTCAAAACAATCATCTTCCTAGTTTCTGAGTCACTTTTTATCGCTGAAGTGTTTGCAGGTATTGAAACCTGTTCTGTGCCAGTAAGGCCAGGCCAGAAAATCCCTCTTCTTACATGTAGTGTCTTCAGTGATGGTGCTGGTTTACCGCATCTTTTAAGGACTGGCATGTTTTCCCATAAAATAGGAGGAATAAGCACCCACAGCCTGTAAAAAAGCAGATGTCACTCCTATATTCAAGAAGGACAAGGAGACCTAAGGAACCACAGACTGATCAACCGCAGTTTCATCCCTATAAGCTATTTCCAGGTACATGAATAAAAAGAAAGTTGCCAGTCTGTATGGTTTCATAATGGGATGTCACGCTTGACTAACTTGACAAACTTGTATGAGAAAACGACTGGCCTGGTAGATCAGGGGAGAGGAGTGGGTAGTGTCTACCTGGACATCTGTGAGGATTTTGACAGTTTCACCAGCCAATAGCCCCTGGGGACAGCCCTCCCTTGACTCTGCAGACCAGCTCACTGGCTTCACTCATTCCCGCATGCTGGGGGTCTCACTCGCCTGCCACCCCCCTTGCAGCAGCTTTGACAGCATCCTGCCAGCTTCCACAGGGAATTTCTGTGGAAGTCAAATTGGACCAAGGGCAGGACAGGAGCTGGGGTTTACACATTGTGGCTTCCCATCACTTGCATTACCCACAATTTCGTTCTGGGTGGAGAGGCTGCCTGTTATCACAGGCCTCTTCACTTAAGCTACTGTGTTTTGCCTGCCAAGTTGCACTCAAATCACATGCTGTTTATCAGTGTACTTATTTTCTCTGGAGGAATGTAAGCAATTTAATTAATGCTGAATTTCAGCTTGTAATAAAGCGGGCTCTCTCACTTACAGATGAAGATTAATGCAGATCCTTTCCCTTTCTCAAGTCTTCATACTTGGCTAGCCTGACTCCTTGCATGGATTCTGCATGTTTGGACAAGGAGAAACTGTTTTTCGGGCATCTTTGGCTCATGCTGTGCTGAGATCTCCTTTGTTTTCTGCAGCACAGTGGTGATTGATAGATCTTGCACTCATGCCAGTGCCTGGAGCTAAAAACCTGAGGATGCTGGGCAGGCTGCAACTAGTGAGCTGGAGGGACACCAATGAGTTGCTCTTTAGCATGCTCCAACCACCTAAATTAGGAAAAAGAAGGGGCATAAAAATTGACTTTTTTTTTCTGAAATACTGAGGCAAACAGTGTAAATGCTGTCTGTTTCGCAGCAGCAGAGTCTACACTGTAGTTTGAACAAACTCATACACCCCCTCTGACTCCTAATATTATTCTCACATTACATGGAGACCAGACGAGCCTCATCTGTGAGCTAGAGGTGTCATTTGGTGCTGTCTGAATGGGGAAGGCCACGCTGCCACTCACTTTCTTAGCAGTTCTTGCACCAACATGATGCAGTCAAGGATGGGCAAGTAAAATGGCCATGAGGACACACTTGGGCAGCTGGTGTTTATAGGCCACCTTTTGTCGGATTTTCTTTATAGCACCATACACTGGTCTTATTTCCACTTTGGTCATCCAAAACTAGGAGGACAAATCATGCTTCCTGATGTGACTCCCTCAAATGTTACAGGTGTATAGTGAAAAAGAGGAAAGGAAGGACAGAATCACAGAATCCTAGAATAGTTTGGTTGGAAGGGACCTTCAAAAGTCCTCTGGTCCAACCTCCCTGCAATGAGCAGGGACATCTTCAACTAGATCAAGTTGATCAGAGCCCTGTTTAACCCAACCCAGAATGTTCCCAGGGAAGTAAGATCTACCACTTCTCTGAGCAACCTGTTCCACCACTCTCATTGGAGATTCCTTCCTTATATCTAGTCTGAATCTACCCATTTTTAGTTTAAAGCCATTCACCCTTGTCCTATTGATACAGGCCCTGATAAAAAGTCTGTACCCATATTTCCTATAAGACCTTTTTAACTGTTGAAAAGCTGAAATAAGGTCTCCCTGGAGCCTTCTCTTCTCCCGGCTGAACCACCATACCTCTCTTGACCTGTCTCTAGATCACTTTTGTGGCCCTCTTCTGGACATGCTTTAACAGGTCCACATCTTTCACATTCTTGAGGACTCTTTTGATGCAGCCCAGGATACCGTTGGCTCTCTGGGCTTGAGTACACACTGCTGGCTTATATCCAGTTTTCTAACCACCAGTACTTCAAAGTCCTCCTGTGCAGAGCTGCTCTCAGTGCCTTCTTCCCCAGCCTACCTTCATCCCACAGATCCTGGAGGTTGCCCTGAGCCAGGTGCAGGACCTTATATTTGGCCTCATTAAACCTCATGAGGTTCACATGGGACAACTTCCTGAGCTTGTCTAGATCCCTCTGAATGGCATCCTGGTCCTCAGGCATGTCAAAGTGCATCACTCAACCTAGTGTCACTTGCAAACTTGCTGAGGGTGCATCAATTCCACTGTCTGTGTCACTGATGAAGATATTAAACAGCACTGGTCACAGTACACCCACCTGAGGGATACCATTCATCACTGATCTTCATCTGGACATTGAGCCATTGATCACTACTCTCTGGATGTGACCACGCAGCCAGAGGAGCAACTGTGAAGACGCTACCCATGCAAGACACCTGACATCATTGCTGCTGGCCCTTTGCCTGCCATTTTTCTGCTTCATTCCTGGAGGAAGGAGGACAGTGGGAAAATGTATGCAATTTAGTTATCATCTATCCACACAAAATCTGTGCGCCCACCTCTTCATGGTCCCAGAGTGGTACCAGCAGCAGTCTGCTGCAGCTTTTGCTCTTGCATGGTTCTTTCTGTTTTCATGCATTTTTGCTTCTGCTCCTCCCTCCTTTCACCATTCCACTTGATCTTGAAGCCATCAACCATGCAGTGAAGGAGGAAAGTTTGATTCAACTGGCTGCTGGAGAGATCCCAGACCAAAAAAAATGATCCACAGCAATGAGGTATGATACTGGGTGACTGATGATCCTGAATGCCCTAAATCTTTTACCTCCTCCCCACTGAAAGAAAAATAGGTAGATAGGAACATAATATAGGTCCTGATACCACCAAGTATGGTACTGTACTGTGGCTGATTTCACCAGCAGTGCTTGGAGGGGTGTCAAAGATGTCTCAGTGATCTCCCCATCATTGCCACCACCTTGTCAGCCAGTCTGACTGAAGCATTAGTCCTGGCAGAGCCTGCAGAGCAGGAGGGTGCTGGAGCCTTCCTCCCCCCCTCTGCAGCATCACTCCCTGCTCAGGGAGTTGCCAAGGCCAGGGAGGGAGCTGGATCTCCCCAGCTGGTCAGAGGCAGGCCCAGGAGCAGAGATAGCTCTTCATGTTGTGTTGTAGATGTGCGGAAATAATGCTGCTGGAGCACTGGGTTATCAGCTATCTGAAGGCAATGCACAGCAGAACAGCAGGCATGCTTCCACAGCCACCCCAGCGACTTGTAGTAGCCTGAGAGGCTCAGCAAAGCTGCAGTCCCCCTTTCCTCTGCTCCATCCCTCCTGATTCTCTGCAGGATTAGAGCTAAATCCTATTCCTACCTGAAAGTGAGAGCTTACACTGCAACCGACTTCAAATGCAGTGACAGAAATAACCCTTCTCTAATCCTTCTTCTCTGAGAGGGACTGAGTCTCCTTTCAGCAGGGAGCCTGCAGTCTGCCTGCCTCTGCCTTGCCTAACCCTCTGCTTTAACATGCTTCATGCTCTATTTTCATTCCTTTTCCTCTTCACATTCTAGAAGTTTCTGAAGCTGTCACGACTTTTAAAATATTCCTACCTGCCTTTAAATGGGCCTCATTCCCACTTGAACTTTCGTTTAAACTTTCAGTAGTGACCTGTTATGCCAAGCCTATTAACATCACACAGCAGCAGAACTAAAGAGATCGTCCTCTGCTCAGCACATCATCATGAGACCCTCTGGGCTCAAGAGGGTGATGAGCAATTGAGACTCATGCTCAGAGAGATGCAATCCTGACACACTGGGTGCTAAAAATAAGTATACAGTTGTAGCTGGTTACCTGAGCACTGTGGGGGTAAGAGCCTTTCCATGTCACATAGTGAGTTGTGCTGTCCCTCTGTGGTCCATGGGGATAAGGTCATGGTGGTCAAAAGCAGGGAAATCTCTCCTGGTAAGGCAATTTGCAGTGTATTCCCAGTTACCTCCAGTGAAAATGAAATGTGTCCCAAGAGGGCACAGCCTTGCCTAACTGATTAATTACCGTGTGGAGATGTGTTTCAGGCAGCTTCATATATTGTACAACAGGAGGTTTCATATAGCATTGAAGCTAAATCAGTGACTAAAATCCTACTGTCAGAGTCTGCAAAGAGCCAGCTGCCATGTCCATATGCACAATCGTGGTGGTATTGCCTTTCAGTGTCCCAAAGGACGCACAACTTTTGGCCATGGATGTCAGGACACAAGGTCACATAAATCTGAGCGGCATAAGGAAAGCCCATCAGCTGAGCCAGACCACTTCAATAAACCTACAGTTCCCAACATTTACTATTCTGGGACAAAGCAGCCATAACTGCTGCATTTAGACTGACTTTGAAAGGCTCCTATTTAAATCCAGGCAGACACCGCTGAAGCCAACACAAGTGGCAAAAAGGCATGTGGGTGCCTGGCATTTTCCCATGTGGTGCTCCAGTTGCCCACTCAGAATATGTGAAACCCAATGTTCCATTTACCAGAAATGGTCTGGAAGGGCTGAATTGCCTGTGACTATTTGTGGAAAAGGCCTCTCAACCCAAAGCATTGGCCCAAAACCCAGCACACAGAAATCCACTTACCCTGAAGTGGGGTGCGCTAGCCACAGTGCTAACGAACACAACCGGCAGAGTTGCCTCTCACTATGCTAAACAGCCAGTGAGCACAGACATTCTACTTTCTGCACTCGGGGAGGCACCGGAGAAAGGTGTGATACCTCTCATGCTGAGAAGGACCCTGTATGCCCCCTTGCTCAGAGAGCACTTGCAGGGAGCAGAGCTTGGTGCTGGGGAGCTGCTGCATTAGCCCTCATTTCAGGGACTGGACTAGATCCCCAAAACAGTTCCTGCCTTGAGGTTTGCAGAACAATAGTCCTTTCAATTAGCGGTTAAAACCAGTATCTTTGAAAAATCTGGTTATTTCTGGTTTTCAATTGGCATAGATAATAGTTTGTTACCCTTTTTCTTATAAGCTGGTTTTAGAGTAAGCATTTTCATCTTACTGAGCTCTTTTTAATTAAATACTTTGTTCTTACTGAACTGATGCTCAAGCTTGTCTGAAACTAGTTGGATTTCTATTCAGTTATTAATATGCCTAAGTAAGTATTGCAAACAAAGGGAAGATGTGTAAAGGTACTTCCAAACAGGAGAATTGACTGGGATCTGCTTCCACATTCAATCTTCAGCTGCTGCAGCACAAAAACTAAACTTCCCCGTAAAACTGAAACACAAGAATCTAATGTTGTTTATGAGATTGTTCTCAAAAGAAAGGAAGTGATGACCAAAGTTAAAGGAAGCACAGGTTCTCCCTCTTATCCCAGCAGGACACAACTCAGACATGAGGAGAAAGAAAGGATCACTGCTGAACTTTAAAGCCTAAAAATAACTAAGTCAGAGAAAGGTCCAGAAATCTTTTGGTCCTTAGCTCAAACCTTGTAGTAAGAAAGAGCAAAATTAAAGAGCAGTAGGTACTAGACAAACCCTGTCAAGCACAGTTGGAGCAAAGAGTCAGAGGTATTCCTGCTGCCAGTGCTGGGAGGAGCAGGATTTTCAGCCTCCCCAAGGTGGCCATGCTTGCAGGGACAAGGACATGAGTGGTGCCTGGGAGAGGGAGAGCACTGGGCTCTCTCCTGCACTAGGCTCTGCCTTCTCCCTTTGCATCGCAGCACTGGGCAGAAGCAAGTCCCAGTAACACCTTGGATGCTGATGTTCGGGAGTGCCACATACCCACGTGTCTGCAGTGGTAGCTGATGCCTTGGCAGCCAGCTGACTCTTAAAAATAGCCTGGAGGGGAAGGGAGAGGCAGGTGCTCTCTGGTTTTCACTCTGGTCCTTCAACTGCAGGCTCAGGAGAGGCTGTTTCAGCCTGTCTAGTGAAGAGCAGGCTATCAAGAGTAGATCCAGGGTTTTGTGCCATAGAAGTAAGTCAAATGAAGGTAAAGTAATTGATGAGATTCACAGATGAGCCTGGGCTGAAGTAAGTTCATTTTATTTAATGAAAATGGGAAGAAAAGGAAGGTGGGCTTTAAGATACTTGATAACATTCTTTTCTGTTCCTGTGAGGCTCTTGTCTGTGAAAGTGCCATTTGCCAGGAGCAGAGGTGTGAGGAAAGGCGCAGAAAAACTTTCAGGGCCATTCACTGCAATGCCATAGATCTCACAGACCAGAAGGAAACCTGTGTACAGGAGAGCCCATAGCTATTAACAGCTAAAGGTAAATGGGCAGGAGAAAACTACTGGGTAAAGAGCTTCTCATGAGATGAGCAACCTCAGGCAGTAGGCTGGGAAGGTAAGTGTTCCACCAGCTGGGAAGTGCAAGGTCCTGGCCTCTGGTCTCTGAGCAATGCTTGGACCCCCATCAGCAAACGTCCCAGTGCCTGTGTGTCCCAGTGACACATACCCACTGCTCTCTAGAAGCCCTTTTCTAAATACTTAACCTCCTTAGCCAAGAAAATAACCAGGGAAGAAGTCATATTTCTGAGCAGCCCAGCTTGGGAGGTGATCTGTCCCCAAGCTTCTGGCACCTAATGCCTCTATGTTGGAAGGAGTAGCCTATGCTGGCCTAGGCAGCAGACAAGACAGCAGTATCCCTGTAGAAGATTACTTAAGTGTTTTCAAAGCCATTAAGCTTTGTTTGAACTCAGCCAATACCAGACTTTAATGGGACCAGAACTGCATCGTGCTGGTGACGGCAACTGAACTATAAATGGTTTTACTGCACCTTGAAAAGTTCAAAATAATGTGTGAACATAAGGTCTTGTTATCAAAAACAATCTGGTCCATATTTCTTCCACAGAGGCAGTTTTTTTTCCCAAAAGTATTTAGACCTCAGTTTGTTATTGCCACAAGACAGGAAAGCTTAACGGTATTTACAATAAACTTCCTTGGTCCACTTACAGCCATCCTGGCTGTAGCCTCCTTGTATAGACAACGTAATTTAAATTAGAGAGAAGATATAAACATGAGTTTGGTTTTCTTCTGAAACGTTGTGTGCATTTCAAGCAACTTTTAAGAGCACTTTCACTGCTAGCTTTTAAGAGAAACTTTATCAGAGATTAAAGGATTAGAATCTAAAAAGAGTTCCTAGACAAGCCTGAAAATTTATAAAAAAGGAAGAAACATGTTGGAAGGAGAAGAAAAGATCTATTGGGAACACGGCAATGACTGTTTCTAAAAACTGTAGAAGAGATCAATGTTCTCCACAGCCTGATAAGATGCTTGTTGCTTTATCCACTATGATTTGAGAAACGGAAACCATCCAAAATGAATTTCATCTGGCTGGATCAAATGGGCTCCGCAGGAAAGTTCTGTTTTCAGTTGCTTAAGGGCAGGGATTACACCATGTGTTGTCCCAGCAGATCCTCTTGCATAAACCCTGATTGCCTTACAGCGGGAAAGCCTGGTCACCCCAGCAGGCACTCTGCCCAAGGGGCACGGTGCACTTGTAAAAGAGCATAATAATGAGCGATTACAGTATCATGATACGGAGATCTTGATAGCTGAATCTAATTTATTGATGAGATCAGATTAGAGGCTTAGGGCCTGCCTAGGTGAAGGAGGGTTTTTTAGCTAATGAAACTCCAGGTAAATTCTGCAACTGTTTCAGGAAACCTTCAGGCAAATCTGACTCTGCTTCTGGCACTACACTTCTCCCTCTGGACTCTGTTTATCAAAGTACATAAGTTACATAAATATATACCCAAAGCTAAGCAGGTAGGTGATGATAGCTCTGAAAATGAATAGGGTTTTTTTCCTTTTCTGAGGCATCAGTCTTGTGTGTGCCCAGGATAGATGGTGTCCTGTATGTGCAGGAGCTGAGCTCTGAAGAGGTGTGAGAAGCACAGATGCTCTTGGACAGTGCAGCCAGGGAGTCTGCATCAAGAGGACTTCACTAGAGTAAGCCTGTGAACCGCATGGTTAAAACATTCTTCTGGTACCTTCTGCTTTCAGATGTCTTCTGCTGACGTCTGAGTGGAGAAGAAAGCCTCCACTGAGTATGAAGGAAACTTTCAAACAGGAAAGGAGAACATCATCCAGCTGCATCCTCCACAGTCTACATGTTGGTGGCCTTTCATTCATGCACCATCCAAAACATGTGACAGTAACAGCACTTAATTCCTCTTGGCCAGTTTCAAGGCAGGAGCAAGCATATCTGGATGGTCCCTGATGAAGACTTGTCTAACCTGCTCTTTAAGATCATCAGTGAAAGAGGTTCAGGAGCCCCTCAGGCCACTCCTTCCACTGCTTCACCACTTTATGGTTAGAAATATTCTCCTACTATCTCTTTGTGTCAGCTTCAATGAACTGTGTTTTGTCCTGTGCTACTAGACAGAGCTGCTTTCTGTCCTCCCTGCCACACTCAGAAACTGCTGCCCATTCCTCTCCCCTCAGTCCTCTCTTTCCAGAGTAACTTGTCTAACATTCCTCCTGACTCAAATTCCTTAAACCTCTGTCACAGCTGCCCATCCTGGACAGTAGCCAATCATTCTTAACCTGGATTTAGCACAAAAGCCCACGAATCATCATCAAAGAGCAGAGCAAAATCACAGCCTGTGATGTTCTTACTGATACAACCCAAAATACATTCTAGGCAATATAAACTCATGCTTGGGGATGTTTTTTTGTTTTTTTCTTTTGGGGGGAGGAGGGCTGTTTTGCTGCCTCCTTTGGATTTGCACATTTTATCCATGCTTCCCAAATTCAACATTTTGCTGCGTTTGGCTTTGGTGGTTGTGCTTTTCCCCGACTTACAGATTCTGCTCTGAGTCCTACTGCTCTCTCAAGTAGGTTTGCAAGCTTCACTTCAGCAGCTTCATCCCTCCACAAATGCAAATGCATCCTCTACTCCACTATCTGAACTTGAAATGAAAACGAAATTGACTAAAATCTCCACAATCTTTTGTAAAGAAAAATTCATTAGAGGGTGAACTATTGACAACTGGCCTTTGGGTGCTGTATATCAAGCAGTTTAGCACCTAGCTGGTTATGATTTAATCTCTTTCACATTCTCTTTGCTTGTATAAAAGAACGTCACCTGTCCATGACAACAGCATTTCTGAAGTCATGATGTAACATGTCAGCTGCTTCTCCCTGTTTGCAGGATCTTGTCAAAGGAAGGGGTCAGGCTGGACTTGTGTGACTTGGTTTTGAAATATCTACTTTTGATATATTTGCATTTTATCCTGCTGGTGCTTATAAAGTTGTGAATAACTCATGCAACACCCTTCCAGGTACCAAAGTGAGTCTGACTGGTCTGTCTTCATGCACATCATTCTCCGTTTCCTGCTGTTGTTTGCTCTTCTCCAGTTTGCTGTGATCTCCCCTTCCACCCTCGTTGCACACTCAAAGATAATAGCTAATGGTCCAAGGAGTGCTTCATCTGGTCCCTCAGGGTGAGTGTCATATGTTCGACCCATCTTATCTCATTTCTCTAACTTATGCCTTATATTTAAAACATTTAACTGATCTAAAGATTTCAACACAGAGAAAATTACAGGGAAACATGAAATAATGGTTATTATGTCTTCATTTATCAGTCTGCTGACTCAGGAGAAGTAATGGATCTTTTATGTCCCATTACTTTCAAATAGAGATAAACATTAGATTTATTATGTCTCATGATAATAGTACGCTTATAACCCTGTTTTGAAAATAATGCTTTTGTACAAAAGAATATCAGGTTTGAATTTCCTCTTTATATAGCTGTGACACCTTCAAAGGCTATTCTTTATCTTTTATAAAGCAAAAATATTCTGTATTTTTGCTTTTAAATCCAACCAGGTTTTTTTACCCAGTGGCAATGGAAGTTCATAATTTTGTTTCTTTCTCAAACCAATCAAACTGTTGCCAAGGAAATAATTCTAGATGGAGATGGGTCAAGAGAAAATCTCTCTCAGAAGATTGCTACTTGTAAAGCACATAAATTATAATAATTTAATCAAAAGCATAAAGTAGTCAATCTAAAAACCTATGCAAGTATAATAATTCAATTCAAATGCCTGATCTTTCTCTCCTGTGCATATCTTCTACACTATTGTTAAAAATTCATTACTAATTAATCCCTAATATGGTTTTCCAGGACACAGACCAGTTGGCCACTAAAAGTATTCTACAAAGGAGATGAGAAAGGATTGCAGTTTGATAAGATAAAGAGCATTGTTCTTCCATTTGCTTGTCACTTTGATATAAATGTGATTTCTCCTGGATATAGAATCTTTTATCTTTCCCCTTTCTGCCCTGCTCTACTGCTGTGGGAAGGCTTGCAATACTTAATCTGTGCCTAGGTGTAGTTCCACATCCTTTGGGAGCATTTTGTCTCCTGGACCCTGGTCCCAAGTTCAGTGAATAAAACCCAAGAATTTTTGGAGAGAAAATTTTACGTTTTGGTTTGTTTGGTTTTTTCTTGCAGTTAGAAGTGGTTGTAGATACTAGCTGGATTATGAACTAGTTTACTATTGAAACTGTGGTTTGTGTTAAAGTAAGGAAATCCCATATTAATAACATCAAGGAAAGACCTGATTCCTCTGGGGGTAAACCTAATGCATCCCGAAATTCCAATTACTTTACTTTTGTTCTTATTAGCTCTCCTGTGAACACTTGTGGTATATCTGCCACACCTATGCCTGTGAGCTGTATTAACAGAGATTTACCCCAGGCCGTCTCCTGAGAGGTCACATTGACCTTCTCATTGTCCATCTATCTATTCTCTGCATAATGTTTTTCCTGGGCCCAGATACATTTTTGTCTCAGAGCTATCCAGTGCCCTTCACCCAGGGCTGTCCAAGGTGTTACGTTTGAAAATAAACTGCAATAAGAGATGATTGGCAAAAATTCTTCCCATTTCAAAGACAACTGAAACAAGATGGATTTGTTGAGTGATTTGCTCCTCGCTATCGATCCCACTCTTAAAAATCCAAACACCCACCTCCATTGTTATCCTTCAATTCAGCTTCTAATGACATGTCATTTCAGTTTCAAGGGTGACCCATGAATGTGCAAGACCTGTTTTTCCTAAAAGCTTTGGAGAAAGATGTAAGGAGAATAAGACTTGAATAAAATCACAAAATATGGAAGAAGAAAAATGACAAAAGTAAGAGCAAGTGTCCCAGAAACGTAGAATTAACCAAAAGGATCTGATGGCTTATGATTAACGTCATTGAGAGAAGAGAAGTCATTTTGCCTTTCAGGAATGATATAGGAGAAAGTATAAACTAAAAATAATGGAATAACAGAGTTATTAAGCCGTTGCTTATGTGGTTTTAAAAGAGAAGGACAGGGTGTTACCTCAGCTGGTGATAAGGTTTCTAAAGAGAGAGAAGCAGGAAAATAAGGAAGTCTGTAAGATAAATTCTAAAATAGCTTGTCAAGGCTTCAAGCCTCTTGGTATTGACAAGGCACTAAGTGCATCCAGGGTGCAAAGGGAAATGGGGCAGGACAGGGAGAGGTCCAACAGACTTCTTTCCAAGGTCATATGTCCCCGTGTGCCGTGGACGGATCAAATAAACACAAATGAGTGAAAGGTGCCAGCAGCTGCCACAGATGTTCAATAGCAGCAGTGAAGAAAATCCCAAAGTTTGCAGAAATACTTCGGGAAGGGCTGGAGGAGGGAGGTTGGTTGGTACCATGAGAAAAATCTAGCCGTTCTGCATCCTGGGGAACACCAGGAAATCCCTTCTAGCAGTGGTGCCTAAGCTTTGGCAGCATGAATATGCTTTTCCTCTTTGCTTTTTCTTCCTGCATCTAGGAGAGGTTGGCCAGAATGACAGCTCACAAATGCACACTTCAGCTTGGAAAAGAATCTAAATTTAGGAAAAACCCTGGGAATTTCTTTCAATCTCACTGAAGTTAAAGGAAGCAGACATGTGTGGTAAGAGTTTTATATGAATTCCCAAATTGGAGTCAGATTAATTTAGTTGATGAATTTTTAATCAAATAAGGCATTTCAGAACTAATCAAATGCGAGATTTATTACTAATATGAAATTACCAGACAATTTCACTTTTTCTTTTTTTTTTCATATGATTACTTATTCTGACATGAGAAGTCAGAATATTGATGATCAGGTTTAACAGCAGGTTACCTAAAGGGTGCCTCTGACTGTTCCTATTCACCACCCGGTTTTGGCTTTTGAGCAGAATAATAAAAAATAACTGTATAAAAAGCACTGTAAGAAATTCAGACCAGCAATGCTTTTGAGCTGAAATTCTAAAATACTAAATCACCTCTTACCTCCAAATAATTAATTGTTACCAACAATCAATTTAATAACTCTAAAGAACAAACATCACAGTGCAAGTGAGGTCGTGGTGATACATCCTCCAAGTTATTTGTACATTCACATATCTTACTAAACTTTGTCACATAAAATTCATCATTTCAGGTAAGAAGGTAGCCTTGTCCCCAGAGGCTTTGCATTTTTCTTCCTTATTGAGCTACCATTGTAAAGATGTATTGTTGTAGAAGAGCACTATTGATTTTCAGAAGCTCTTTGGAAAAGCAGTATCTTGGCTTCATTAAAAATTGAACAGCATAGTATAGCAATATGTCTGGAAGAGAGCTGAGATGGTCTGCATTTAGCCTCTAAGTGACTAAAGAAATAAGGCAAAACCCTGGGAAAATGTGTAGAAATCCAACTGGGACTTGCAGTTCTAGTCTTGGTTGAGCTTAGACCTACAGGTCTGAAGGAATCTCCCTGGCTGCTGCCTCTCTGTGGAGGTACCTCAACAGCATGGACAGCTCAGGATTTTACCTCAGACTTACTGAAAAAAACAGAACTTCTTCACCGAATGACTAGATACATGAGTTTAGCTGGGCTCAGCCCACCTTATGCCTAAGCTCACTCATGATTCAAATAGGAGATGTGCCCCTGCCCTCCCTGGCTGGCTCAAGGTGCTAGGGGTTGCTGCCATAGCAGACTCTTGCCTCCATGGCCACTATGCAGCTCGTCTTTGTCACCTAAAAGATGGTTCATGACAATGCCTCATTTCAATGTCTCTGGGGCATGCAGGCTGCTTCAAAATCCTAATTAGGACTCAACTCTCCCATGTGTGTGTAAGGTTCCTAGGTCTCCTCCAGAACTCAGTGATGTCAGATGTTACAGCATGTGGTAGCAGTGATGAGTATTCTATCACCAAGGCCTGTTGTTGGATGCTCACTCTGGTCATTCTCACTGGGTTTTGGCAACTTCAGGAATGAAGCAGGGTCTGAGAGGTAAGTTCTCTCTGGTTTTCCAGGACTCTCTGGTGTTTAAACTACTCTGGTGAGCATCTGGAACTTATGAGAGATGAGTTGAGCTCTGGGTTGGAAACTTGGTCCCTGGGTGACCTGGAGGTTCTTGATGTTTATTGTCCTGTCCGATGGATAAGGCTACATAAACCTCAGAGGTAAAGAACAAAGTGAAAGTCTCAGACAGGATTTCTGACAATTTTAAAACTTTTTCCCTCAGGCTGTTCCCAGCACACAAGAAAATCCTGACTGAAGAGTAAAGGCTCCTGAACTAAATAGCATAAAAGGATGTCTTATTATCTTGCTTCAAAGTACAGATCATGACCATTAAGTTATTCAGGGCTACAAGTTCCAGACCTCCTTTCCCCCCCCCACTTTCATCTACCCAGCAGAGGAAAAAGCTGTAACAACTTCAGCATTTAGCACAAGCTAATACATCTTTCTCTAGAACAAACAAAACCCCTCCACAACCCTCTCCAAGCAACCCTCAGACACTCGTCAGTCTTATTTCAGCATCTGTGTAATATGCACAGTGACAGACCAGAGGTGGTCGTGTTTGTCAGCCATTTCCTCACTGACCTTTAGATAAGAGCAGCCTTCCCCAAGCCGGCCACCAGAAAGGAAAAGGTCTCCACTCCAGACATGCCCGAGCTGGGGTGTGAGCTGCAGCTTTCCCCAGTGTGCTGGTCTGGAGGCTGGAAGTAAGTCCCCTCCCGCCTGTGCAAACCTGTGCTGATGTGATAAAGCTAAACCTGTGGGTGTCCACTGTCACCTGGGCTCCTGGGGAGGCTCTGCAGAGTGGCGCCAGGCTGCTGGAAGCACTCCTGTCTGCCAGGGAGGGGTGGGAAACATAGCTGGTTGCTCAAAATGCAGCATGTAGGTATCCCTCTGCCATCCCACCAGGCACCTGGGACAACGCTTGTGGGCAACCCCATTGGCATCCCTGGGGAACAGACACCTAGGGTGAGGGCACACACCCTGCTTCACGCAGCATGGCTGTAAGGTCCCCCTGGCTGCCAGCCACCCCAAACACACACATACACACCTACACTGTGGGTTTCAGTGTCCTGGACCCCACCCTGCCTTCTGGTATACCTTCAACCTGAAACTCCCATGGTCATTCTCTCCAGTGCGCTGCTTTGTCCCTGCTGCTTTGCTCTCTTGGAATTTGTTGAAAGTTAGCACTTTTAGTGCCTCTGCACCAAATATGGCTAAAGCTGCTGGGAAAAGGGCCTAGTCACACATGGAGCAAGAGAAGAAACATAATAGGTATGCTGATGATGCCCCCAAAAAAATATTTTCACCTGTATGGCAGGCAGGAACATGCAGGAGGCAAAGCAGTGAGTTGAGGAACCAGGAGAGGTCATCTTAGTGTTTACCCTCAGCTCCTCTCATGTAACTTCACTTGGTCCATGGCAGCCTGAGCTGGTCTCAGGGTTTTACAGGTGTCCTGCTCCCTCCCCGGCTCCTTGACCACCACGTATGGGTGCTCATCAGACTTCTCAGCAGCCTCATCCAAAAAAAACCAAATAAATAGCTTGTATTATTACTCTAAAATAAAATAGCAACATTAAATAAAACATTAATAAATACAAAGACATAAATAAAATAGCAGCATTAGTACTCTAAAATGGCTCAGGCAGACTGCAGTGACAGTGGAATACGGGTCTACAGGAGAAGATGATGGTGAGATTTTGGGATAAGGCAGAGGGCAGGGCCTGGGAGCTGGTTATTAAAGGGCTGGGGTCCACCACAGCAACTGTGAGAAACAGGAGAGGTGGCCGGGCACCAGCAGCTCTCACACAGGTTTATACAAGCAGCATCTTCACTGGTCTCAAAACTGGAGCTGGTAGCCAAACAGTACGAAACAGGGGGTTGGATAGTTTCACACTTTTTGCAGCAGATGACTTTCCACTTTAAATGGGAGTCTGATTTCATACATCAGATAAGACTACAGCCTGTTGGGCTCCATAGAATGAGGTTACATATGGAAGTGCAGAGGAGCATAGATGAAATATAAACTATCCAGTCTAATATATTAGCATATATTTGAGTGATGAATGGCCATTGCCTTATGAACAGCTTGCTGCTACACCAGCATTCTGCAGCATCAAATATATGATATGAGATATTTTGACAGCATCTGAGCTTCCTGCATT